CGTACCCAGAGCCCGCACTATTGCCGCAAGAGTGTGGGCTCTGGGTACGAGATTATTTCTCAGTCTCCCGCTCGGCCGTGCTTGGTCCTCTAGGACCAGTTTCCCAACGCAACTTTCAAGCGATTAATGTTTGCAGCAATTCGACTAATGTTTGGAGCATGGTCCGACTAATGTTTGCAGCAAGGTCCGACTAATGTTTGCAGCAACTCGACTAATGTTTGCAGCACGGTCCGACTAATGTTTGCAGCCACTCAACTAATGTTTGCAGCACTGTTCGACTAATGTTTGCATTACGGCTCGAATAATGTTTGCAGCAACACGACTTATGTTTGCAGCAACACGACTTATGTGTGCAGCAACTTCATAAATTTGCAGCAATTTCACTAATGTTTCCAGCAACTGGTATATTTGCTGCATGTCCCCTATGGGCCACCGTAGAATCCASGTCCAATGCTAAGAAATAGTATTCAAAATATTTCATTTACAAACCCAGATTTTGTTTTACATTATCGAATGCTTAGATATGGGTTACRCCCATTAGATGTTGGCGGAGAAGGTGATTGCTTATTTAAATCAATATCTCATCAGTTATATGGTGATTCAAGTCATCATGTAGAAATCAGAGCATTAGGAGTTACATATTTGAGCGATAATCCTGGTTCATAGAAAGTGTAGAAGACACTCCATGGGCTCAGTATTTATCTGATATGTCTAAACAAGGTACATGGGCTGATAACATTGTCATACAAGCAATTGCTGATGCCATGAATTTAAAAGATCATATTATAGAACCTAATCAAAATTTCAGTGAAATGACCTTAGTTGAACCTGCCCAATTTCATATGCCTGACAATTTGAGATCAATATTTATTGGTCACATAGGTGAAATGCATTATGTTTCAACTTCATCAGCTTCATGTTCAGCTTCATCCTTCAACACTGTAAATCAAATTGGTAATGAGACATCTACAGGTACATGTATCACTTCTGATAAATCTTCCATAAATGATGATATTGGTGAATGTTCTTTGGAGTCCARCATACTTAATCGAAAATCAAACAATTGTAAAAGAAAAAGGGAGGAAAAATCTGCTTATATGAAACAATATAGAGTGTCTACTGATTCACCCGAGAAAAGAGCTAAGARAAATGAGTATCAAAGATATCGCAGATCAGTTTTAGCAAGTCCARAAAAAAAGCAAAGCGTAATGAGCACCAAAGAAGTTACAGGGCTTCAAAAATCAATGTTGATTTTTGCATCAAACAATTCCATGAAATAGTGAAACAAGGTCCACTGTATGTATGTTGTTGTTGTGACCAATTGTGGTATAGACATAGTGTGATAAAGGCAGATAAACTAAAACATTCTGATCCTGACATAGTGAAATATCTATGTGATAAAACTAGTGTTGATGCCAAGCAGTGGGTTTGTAATACCTGTAACAATAATTAAAAAAAA